CTCTTTCATTTCTCCAATTCATTTCTTCCATTAATTTACTCTTTCATTTCTCCAATTTATTTCTCCTATTCATTTACTCTTTCATTTCTCCAATTTATTTCTCCTATTCATTTACTATTTCGTTTCATTCATTCATTTCCCCCATTCATTAACTCTTTCAGTACACGGCACCTGTCTCCCTGGTTTCAAGAAGTACGACAAATTCTGTTACCTGTTTCGTCTGTACTATAAAACCTCGTGGCCAGAAGCGAGGTTCCGTTGTAACAAGGCAGGCGGAGATCTCGTCAGTATTCTGAACCAACAAGAAAAAGACTTCCTTATTTACCAAACTAAAGAACTACGCTTGCCAATGCTGCTATGGACTGGTGAGTCTTGATTAGAACCATGCACCAATGGGTTAGATGGGGTGGAGATTTAATTTCTCTAGTTCCCGACCCCCCAACCCCTCCTCGTAATAGAGGTACCCCAGTTTAAAAAATTTACAACCATATATATCCGTATATGTTTAGAGCAGATTTTGTGTGCCTCCACCCTGAATAGAATTGAACGTCACTCAGCAAGAATAATGTTACTGTGTACTGCATCGTGACAGGTGTCCTTGAAAATAATGAATTACAGAAGACTGATTCGTGCGAGTTTGAAAATAGCTTTTCACGGCATGGTCACGATACCTAAATAGACAAGAGCAGTTTTCGAATAACTGTGAACAGCTCACGGCACAAGCGCGGTCTTGACTCGGCAAGGCATACGCCAGCCCAATCACATCGCCCGAAAATTTACTCTTCATCCAATCAAATGCCCGAAACACGGTACAATCACGGTGCGGACACGGTCACGGCACTGTTCAACCAATTACATTGTGCGAGAATAGAAATCAGCCAATTCAAATACTAAAAAAATCACCGTAACGGCACGATATGCTTACGGCACTGAGCTTTTCACAGTCATACAAAAACTGCTCTATATGAGTGTAAGTTGGTCAAGAAGTGTGGGATCATTGCTCTTGCAATCAAAATGTTAAGGCAAGTCACCGTCATGATTATATTAGGTACCACACATCCGTATTAATGTACAAGAAAATCTGCTTACGGTTCCGGCCTTCGAACTTATACATGTCTTTTTGATATCAATTCTTTTAGGTCTAAATGATCGTATTGTGGAGAGAGGATACCAGTGGAGTGATGGGAGCCCTGTGTCATTTGTATCCTGGGCCTGGAAACAACCAGATGACAATAGAGGCACACAAAACTGTGTTGGCTTCAATACGATTCATGGCAAGTGGTATGATGTACCCTGTTCTTGGAGACTGGGTTTCGTGTGTAAAGCCAAACTTGGTGAGTGCAATCAGATTAGCGTAGTAGCCCTATTGCAGCATGTCCGAATGCAGCTCAATTTGGCGGGGAAAACAATAGGTTTCCAAATCTCAGGAAATTAAAATTATTTTGTTTTGTCCTCCAAATTGAGCTGCTAGTTTGCTTAATAAACACTGAACATATATAATCGTACAACCTACCAAAACCCAAAGAAGCAATATCTTCGACAAAGGTGGGGCGAGAATAAACACGCCACACCTAGATTGACTAAATACGAATAATCCAACAGGTAGGCCGCAGGGATGGTGGTGGGATAATTTTTAAAGTGATCTTGCTCGACTGCGAGAATAACATGCTTTCAGCATAATGTTCTGTTTTACAATATAGACATTAATGTTTTATACTCTTTCCATTTTACTCGTATACGCCGTTCTTATTTTTCATGCGAACTACATACCTCACTGACATATTTTCCATATCCTCACTAGTGAAGATATCGGTGACGTCTCTTCCAATGTTTTCAACAAGTTTTCGTTTGCAAATGTGTCTATATGATAAAAAGAAAAATGCCCATTGGCTTAAAGATATGGAGGTTACCTTCTCGTGTTGAAAAATACTTCACTTGTTCGCTGCGCTCACTCGTGAAATATTTTCTCTTCTCGCCACCGTGCAATATCCTATATGTATCTTCTGGTTTTAGAATGCTCCCAACCACTTGGTATGGCCAGTTACAACATTACAAACGCCCAGCTGACTGCATCATCACAACTGAACCCTGCCCATGCTCCTGGGATGGGAAGGATAAATGGATCTAGTGGATGGTGCGCTAATGCTTCAACAAATGGCCAATATTTTGAGGTATGAAAGAATATCACGTGGATATGGTCCCTCTTTCTCGGCCTATCCGTTGATATGTGGTATTAGTTTTATTACTAAATCTTTAGAACTGATTTCGTTTGAAACATTTCTATATGAAGGTTACTATACTTTGTACGAATGAGGTCCTTTTTGATAATCATAATTATGAAAAAGCTATCTCAATAAAGATTATTAGTATTTTATTATTTATTATTTTATTATTTTATTTTAACGCACAACTCTATGTGTCTCTACCGGGATTAGGCTCCGGTTACCATACTCAATCATATTTATCCGTTCACAATAAGTTATAATACTCCATTATATTTATCCGTT